ACAGTGAACATTCAGTTATCTTTCAGAATTTAAAACAAATAAATTATGACATTGAGGATAGTGACTATGGTAGTTACTCAAAACACAAAAAATAAATATTCATGATAAAAATTTAACAAATACTAACAGAGTAGTGCAATTTATCGTTACAAACAAGTGTAGAAAACAAAAAAAGCGTAAATCTAAGAACTGTATAATTGTTATGTTAAAATGATGTTGAGCTACGTCATGGCTTGGTGTAAGCATCAATGTACAACGACGATGGAAACAATGCTACAGCTGGAGGATAAATATGCACTACATAAATACAATTTACTTTGGTTATTGTAGATGTTTAATGAATTGACAGCTAATGAGATATGCAATGACTATCAAGCTTATACTTATTTTTTTGCTGGCAAATATTAAGAAACTTATATAATACTATATAATAACTGTATTTATTAGCTATTATGCATTTTCATAACAATGTTATTAAAACAAACAATCAATATTTTATATTGATAAGTGACAATTATAAAATGATGCTAAATTCATTGATGTAATATAGAAATTCATAACATAAAATTACCATGCATAAAAAATTGAAAGCAAACAGTATAAACATGTCTTGGTTGGAAAAACGCAAACAACAAAGATATTTTATTTCGGCTATTAAATGGATGAACATAATTTCAAGTCTTTGGTTCTATTTTCATTTTCTCCAATAACTATATTGTCATCTTGAAGAGTATATTCGAAATATAAATGGATAAAATTTGCATTAGTTAAAATATAACATAACAAAATGGAAAAGCCAATGATATATTTCATAATGATAACTGATAGAAACCAAAAAGCTGTTAAATTCATTCTTTAGAATGTAACACAGTAGTTCATAACATAAATTGACCATACATAATAAATCCAAAGCAAAAATATAAAGGTGTCTTAATTGACAAAACGCAAACTACAATGACTTAAATTCGACTAATAAACGAATGGACAGTCTTTTAATTCTTTGGTTATATCTTCACTTTCTTCAGTAGCTTGGTACCCGAGTATTGTGTAACTCCAACAATGTCACAATCATAATCCTCTTCAATTGAAACGGATGAATTAACTTTTTTTGGGTGTGGCATCACTGTTAACTTCAGGTTCATTCTCTCCATATGCCGATATTGAATGCTACATAAACATGACTAGACAATCATAGATATATTATTATTGTGAAAAAAATATGGGGTAGACTAAATTAAATTGATTGAATAAAAAACACCATCATATGCCAAGTTTCTTAACTTACAGAAGAAAAATCAAAATTCTCTTCCTTGCTTGCCTCTTTTCCACTATGAGTTTTAGTCTAACATTTAAAGAAACACAAAAAACATAAGATATATTTGAAGTTGCGGCACTCAATATTTATGAGGGAAGATGTGATAACCTACATCAGAGCTTATTTGGGGATTTGATTCATTTGCAATAATCTTTGGATTTTGGTGTTTAGACTGATTCTGTTTACAACCAAAAGAAATATAATATATGGTCACGCAAAACAATAATATTTATGAAATAATGTATCATTTACAATTGAGTTTCACGTTATACCTCACAATTGATGTAGTCATTTACAATCTAATTAACAGATGATTCATCGGTTAAAAGCTTGTGAACTGAAACTTGACCAAATCGATACTTTGCATCTCCATCTATTACATACAGCTCGACTTTATACATGTGGCAATTTTATATAATTGTATGCATTATGTTTAACCTTTTGATATAATAAACATGTTAAAGCTAATTAAAATAACTTTAAGTTAACCTTATATATAGGCTTATCAACATGTTTGCCACAACCACGTTTATAAGAATTTTCAGGAGTAGGGGATTTCAAAGAGCAATTAGGGCAACCATAGTAGAACCATCCATACTTCGAAACGGAAAATTTCAATGTCGTTACCACAATAACACAAATAGTCTCTTAGTAATGTATTATATCATAGTTAAATCAGTTTAAATCATTTTGTATTATTATGATGTAATAAAAGTTTACAAATTATACATGCTTTAACTTGCAGAACTCGCTCAACATCATGTATTTGGCATTATAAATCAACTTCTCAATTGGTGTGCATTGTGTTCCCCCAGACCAGTTAGACAACGTCTACGTGGATTGTGTAGGCTTCTCATTCTTCTGGGAATAAGGTAATCTAAAAAAAACACAAATAATGATCACAAAAAACATAATGAACTTATATAAATGACTTATAATATAACAGTTAAGTTTCAAAATAATATATTTTGACAAAAATTCTTGGATAACATGAATATTTTCGTTGATCAATATTTTTGAGCCACTCCATCCATTTGAAACTGAAGTATTGAAGGTACACACATTGGCATTAATATTAACAAAATAACATTTATACAAAATAATCTTATAATTTAATAAAAGTACACATTGTTCAATCGAATATACGACCTTGGAAATCCTTGACCATTGCATGAGACAAAACAATGATAATTACTCCACAGTTTGATTCGTCATTATAGTAACTTAAAAACTTGGATTCATAAGTGTTCCATAAAGTGCAATTTATAATATTGCCCCTACATAAAATTTAGAAGTAAGTATCAACATATTATAGAGATGTCATCGAAAGAGGATAAGAAAAATAATATAACAGATTTATCTCAAATCTCTAAGTTTGAAAGAAACCACTATCTTTTTTCCGCCTGATTTCGGTTGACAGTTGTCAATCTCATGGACAACACCTATAATATCTTATAATCAAAGAGATTTTAAAAGATTATTAAAAAAGGTACTCAGTCAAATACTATATTATACTTTAATATCAAATATATCAAATACCTTGAAGTATGTCCACTTTACAATCTCCTTTAAGGATATCAGAAAAGTCTTTGAAGAAGAAGTTATTAGGAGGAATATTTAAAAGCTCAATTGATTTTACAGTTGTACCACTTAAGAAAACAAACTTTTTCAAGTGATCACAAACCTTCCATTGAAAATCATTGTCATAAACATTCCCATTATTTATGATGCAAGTCATATCTTCTCAATAATTGTTTCCACTTTGCGGTATGGTTATTTAGAACCAATAATTGAATTCGATCACCCTGAAATTGAAACTGCCAAATACAATATGTTAAATGAATTTGACAAAATTGAGAACACTAAAGATGAGTAATAACCTAAAATACATCAGACCTTGACATCCATTACAACCATCTCAAGGTGTTCTATATCCTTGCTATTAACGATGCTCCATAGATCAATAATACGAACAACAAGACACCATGTTTCTTTGGAATCATTGAATCACCTACGAAATCGAATTTGTGCGATATAGCCTGCAGAATATCAAGAAAACAAATTAAACTTTTTAGGGTATATTCTTTGTTTTTTGATTGAAAAGGATGGGGACGTTAGGAAGAAGAATAGAAAAAAAAAAAAGGAAACCTTGACAAATATTAGTGAAGGAAGACTGATATAGAAATAAGTTATCCAAGGTATGGTAGGTTTTATATAGGAATATGTTAGAATACAAAAAGTTGGTATTTTAATGTACGAGGAAAAACTAAAGGCCATTAAAATTTTTAGAAACAAAATAGTTTTTTTTTAAAAACTAAAAATAAAGGATATTCATTCACTCAAATTGATAGAGTACATCGTTGCAATACAATTTTAAAACCGCCAAAAGTAAAAAGGATGAATCTGCGAACAAACTCACAACATCCATGTTAATAGCATAAAATGACAAATTGCATAAGCCTACAAATATGAATATGACTGTATTGAAATGTCTGAAATATTCATGTCTTCAGATCTGTAGTGTTAATGGCACCAAAGTATAGATTGGATATGCACTAGATCGAACCTAAACTTTCAACCTGAAACAAATAAACACCGCACAAAGACAAGAAAACAAAATACACCGCACTAAAATGAGAAATTAAAATACACCACACAAAAACGGAAAATCAAAACAAATAATAATGCAATAAAATGACGAAATTACAAAAAGAAAATCACTTATTTAACTAATAGAGAAACAAAATAGTTAAGATTGTTATTTATATAGCCGTAATAATGAATTCTATGAATTTATGTAATAACTGCAGCATACCCTAATATTAGTAGAGGAATTAATGAGATAATTAGAATATGACAATGATCATTAGAATTATGAAATTAAACTTATTTTGAGATTAGTTTAGGATATGAATATAATTAATTAGACTATTAGTTTTCTTATATAGATAAGAGATATCCAGCCCAATATGCAATAACTAAATTGACAATAACAAAAATGGGAGAAATTTTCCTCATCCAAAATTTAAATGTTCGTTCCTCTTCATTTTTAAAAAGATGAATACTTCATTTTATGTTTTTTTTGCAATTTTCTTTCACAATTTTGAAATGTAACCAAGTAAACAAAATGAAAAAACTAACCAATGGTTTTGATATGACTTTTCTCTTCCTCACAACTGACTTGAAATTACAAACAAGAATGAAAGGCTACTTCTAACCAATTTTGTTTCATCTTTCACTCTTTTTTGTATGGACGTAATTTTGCTATTAGCAAATCTTAATAATCTTTCATAATATAATCAAGACTCAATTTCTTGATTTAAAATTATAAATATAATCAACAAAACAATATAAATATTAAATAGTGTCTAAAATTCATTTTAACAGTGCAGATGATAATAACTGCAGTTGTACAAGTTAACACCCAAAGAGAAATATCGTTACCATTTGATATATCAGCAAATGCAGCCTACAGTGCCATGAGTAGAGACGAGGAAAATCAAAACTTATTGTGAATTCGATTAAATCAATATGAACATCTACTAAGTAGTCTGTCAAAACCCAAAAAATCTGATGCAATCCGATTAAATGCAGTTTAAATTGAATCGGATGATACAATTTTCATTATTACATAGCAAGATTTTCCTGCACTACACGGGGAGCTTTTAAAAGCGCTGCATTTTAACTATGGAGCCACCGGTCCTTGAATAGCATAAGCTAGAGACTCTTCTGCCCAGTCAGCTTTAAATAGCAGCGTCCGCAACGCGTGCAGCATATCATAATCGGGATCAAGTCTCCTTTGCCACCCCTAAATGCAACACAAACTCAAAATGTTAGTTCATGTTTAAGCACAGGAATACTAAAAAAATATATGAACTCTGAACAGTAAGGGTGTGAAGAATGGTTTGTTAAAAGGGTAATTCAAAGGCAGAACTTACCTCGAGAACTAATGTAGTTACTATCATGATGTGCCGCTTCCCTTGAAAGATCAACTTGAGACATCATGAAAACAGCAAATTGTTGTATGCTTTCATCTAATCTCAACCACTTCAAATTAGGAACAATACACGAAATCTTCGAAACGAGATTGATAATGAAGAAATCCCTTCTAATTGCTTCAGTAACCCCCGGATGTCGGACCTTCACCGCTACAACAACAAGCTTCTTGATTTGCTGACCAGGGTATTTGTACTTTAGTGTAGCTCGATGAACTTGAGCGATGCTACCCGAAGCCACCGGTTCCTCCTCAAACTTTTCAAATATTTCATTTAAGTTGCGGCCAAACGCATTTTCAATACATTTTCTGCTATAACTAAAACTATGCGACGGTGCGTTGGTTTGAAACTCTGCAAGTTCACCACAGAGATCCCTCGGAAATAGATCGGTCGAGTTGCAGCCCATTGACCCCATTTAATGAACACCGGGCCAGCCTTTGCAAGTGTAAGGCGTACAACACGAATCCATGTTTTTCTAAACTCAATACCTAAATAGTGAACTAAAGGAGCCATAGCTATGCAAGGAGTGAACAAAATCAGTAAATACACAGCCCTTAGAAACAAGATAAACATCTCAAACGCTTCCAAGATTGCTGAGGTTAAATATACACGTCCATCATTTGCATGTAAGTACAACAAATCCCTTTTCGGGAACGCTTCTGCGTCTGCTAATTTACCTTGCGTCCACGCGCTTATTATGACAGCAATGATACCATGAACAAAAAAATATGATTTGACGATAGCTAGACTAGCGTTGACGACATATGTTGTAGGAGGCGGCACCGTGGTCGGAGATAATTTGTGCTAAATGTTATTTCTCTTCTTTTCAAACTGGGCTGCTTTTTGTTTACAGATCTATTCTTTAGGTGATCCATTTCTTTCTTTTTTTTGTTTTTGTTTTTTTATCAAATAGGGGTGTTTTCTTAAAAGCTCATTTTGAGCATGTGTAGGAAGATAAGTAATGTGTGGGAAATCAATTTTATGATGCAACAACATTTGTCAAAATGGTTAGATGGATTGAATTTTTTTTTTTTTTTTTGGTTTGAGCAACAAATCTATTGTCTTCGAAGGATTGGATTGGAGATTTAATTGAAATGTATTGATTCTTCATATAAGACATGTATTTCATTGAATCACTCTTTTAGATGGTCATTGAATTTTAGGCTTAAATATTCATCATCTCGTTAAATTTTAATATTTCTGTCTAGTTGATTTTATACTTCATTTTTTAATTCTTTGAACTTTTCAAAGGATTCATATTTGTGTTTCATTAAAAACATATAACCATGTCGAATGTAATCATGAGTAAATGTGATGAAGTATTGAAAATCTGTTGTGAACGGTGTGTTAGTGGTCCACAAAATCAGTATGTATGAGGGTTAAAAGATCAATAGATTTTTCACCTTTTCCTATGAATGAGGACATTGTCATCTTTTCAAGTAAACAAGATATACATGTCTCATATAATTCATAATCAAAAGATTTGAATCCATATTTATAGAGTTTGAAATGTGTCTCTCATTAGGTGGCCTAAGAGACAATGTCAAAGATAAGTCACATTTAACTCGTTAGATTTCGTCCTTTTATTATTAATGTTATAGAACATTTCAAGATCAAGAACAAACAATTCATTAATCATTTGTGCATTAGCATAGAATATAACATTTATGTAATAGAAAAACAAATGTTCTTTATTATAAATGAAAAACAAAACTTGTCCAAGCAAAAAACAAAAAAAAAAAAATTCTACTAATTGCATGTATATAATAGTAGTTCTCTAACTTAATTAATAAATCACTAGATAAAGTTAATACATAAGTTCATACGATTAAAGCAACAACCTTTGCTCCATTACCAACTTGTAGATAAACTTGACCATTTTCCAAATGTGAGAATCACATCTGGTATCTAATACACATGATGCAGAAAAAGATAAATTTAGATCTATAATAAAAATACATGAAGTTGAATTCTATACTCTTTTTGTATCTTCCAGGTAATTTGGACAGTTTTCTTCCATTATTCGGTCTTACTACAATAGAAGCAAGTAACTTCCTTAGATATACCTCCATTTGGCCTCCAAGCACGTATAATTGGTTTGGATCTGACAACCTCTTTGTACTTTCTTTTACTACCTTGTTTATTGAGCCTTTTGTTCTAATTCTTGAAATTTCCATTATTGATCATGAGAATGGTCTTTCCTTTTGATTTTAGATGCTTCTTAATAGTTCTAAACATTCCTAGCAGATATAGAAGAGTTTTGTTCATATCATTCATATTGATATTTAGGACAAACTAACTCAACCTATTCAGTAACGACTGCAAGAACAAATCAGTCGAAAGCTCTTTTTTGAGGGGGAAACCCAATCTTTCGAGGTTCTCCATATACCCAATCATCTTGAGTACATGTGGACCTATAAATGTTACCTCGCCTAGCTTGCCTTGAAAATGGATTTGGAAACTTCAAACCTTTCATGCTTAGCTTGATCATGATAGAGCATTTTCAAGTGTTCGATCATATCGAACACTACCATATTATTATGTTGCTTTTGCAATTCACAGTTGAGGGTAGTCAGAATAAGGCAAGAAGCTTCTAAATCATCATGAACATGCTTCTTATAAGTATCTATTTCATCCTTATGAGCAAAATTGGGAGACCCTTCTTCGGGAACATGTGTCTCTAATATATATAATAGTTTCTCATGTTTGAGAACTAACTTCAAGTTTCGGTGTCAATTCAGAAAATTTGTGTCAAACAATTTTTCTTGTCAAAGATTAATTGCAAAATGTTATTTGAAGTGTTTGTTGACATGATAATCTGCATTTCAAAAATTATGAAGATATAAGTATCATTAAAATATATTAAGTTAGGTTTTGAATTAAATACGCTTCCATTATTTTACTCAAACTAAATGAATGACCTTCAATATTTGATTAAGAAAATATCGTTGAAATTTTTTTTATTGGATCAAGATCCACATTTCACTTTGTTTTAAGTCATACTTAGGATGACTACACAAAATTCAATTTTTAGGCAGGAACTCTCTCCAATCGTATATAATACAACTCTTGAGTTTTATCAATTTGGTGAATAATTCGTTATTCTAATTCATCATGAGCTTTCCCAACTCGCTTCTAAACATATATAATATTATTATAATTAGTTTAGTTAAGTAAAACTAATAGTTTAGTAATTAGATATTACATTTATCCCATTACACCTTACTAATATAGAACATGCATCTCCAGGTGGATGAAACCTACATATTCGATATTAGCCTTGATGAGTGTTAAATATTAAAAATCTTAAACTTAATATTTATTTTGAGAGAGTTTATAATTAACTTGATTTTGAATGGTTTATTTGTCATATAAATTTTCTCTCACATGCATCTAGATACATATAAAATAAAATAATACAATTATGACCCTTAGCATAATTATTCTCTCAATGAGAGAACTTAAACTAAATCCAAGAACGATGTAGCCTCTCTAAGCTTGATCTCTATAGTTGTCCTTCTTTAATCTTATCTTCTTTTCTTTCTTCATTATATTACATAAAATACTTATTTTACATATGAGAGAATGAGATCAGAACTATATATATATATATATATATATATATATATATATATATATATATATATATATATATATATATATATATATATATATATATATATATATATATATATATATATATATATATATATATATATATATATATATATATATATATATATATATATATATATATATATATAATAAAGAGAAAGACATGATATACATATAATTTTTTTAAAAAAGATAAGAATACTTCATTATTGTTGTCTTGTAGTATTTAAAAAATTACAAAATAAAATAAAAGACTAAAGTCATTATCGTCATCCATACGACAATAATAATACACACTTTTATTATTATTAATTTGTGTTTAATTAAATAAATTAAATATTAGTGATTGATCACACTATACACATGGGGATTCCGCTAACTCTTAATGAACAATTCATTTTTGAATTTGTGATGTATTTTGCATCAAAACTTGATACATTTATACAAATTATAATTACATAACTCATGTGCTGTTACAAACCTTAATCATATGATTCATGAAAATACAACTCTTGCACCTTCATAAATCTTAATACAACATATTCATACTATTGACAACATAATGGTTGATTATTAGATATGTTTGATCAAAATGTTGTTGCTTCACCATACAAATGTCAGTCACGAAGCAAAATCAACATTGATCATTCAAATATATAACAATTATTATATTAATTGAAAGGAAAAATAAAAAAGTATTAAAAAAATGTGTTATGTCACAACATAATTAATTATATCTTGTATAGATCAATCAAAATATTTGTATCACTATGGGTGATTGAAGAATTCATTTTTCACCATACAAATGTTTGCTAAAAAGCATAATTTGTTGGAATATTTTTATATATTATTTTAATATTCCAATAATTAATATGTGCGCATATATATATATATATATATATATATATATATATTGTTCTGGACTGGGCCCGACAGGCCCAAAAGCATTACTAAGGCCCAGTCCAATGGGACTCATTAAGGACCACAACGTCCATGCCCGACACCCTGATGTCCACCTCGACATCTCAGTGTGCCAGCCCACGCGACGAAGTCACGCTCGACAGACTGCCGTCCAGCTCTATGCCCTGGCTTCCAGCTCGACATTCGCTATCCAGCTCGAGGTCTTGGCGTCGAGCTCGACATCACGCTCCACTGCTCGACATGGACTCAAGCTACCTTGCTAGGGCAGACTCAGTCACCATTGCCCCAACGATACTCCGTAAAGACCGCGTCTCTGTCCGCCCGCACTTCACGCACCACATCCAGGGAGGGGACCACGTGCTGATCCCCACTACCCACGTAGGACCTGGCAGTTCCTCCATTGGGCCAAATCCGCCCGGCCCAGTGAAGGAACCTTGGCCCAGCGCTGGGGGCTATAAATACCCTCTGCTTCCAGAGGGTCAGGTAATCATCAATTCTAACCTCAACTCTATTATCTGCTAGTACTCCCACTGACTTAAGCATCGGAGTGCCTTGCAGGTACCCCCCCCTCCTCGTTCAAAAAGCCTTCAGCTCGGAGCAGCCGTGACGGTCCAAACCTTCTGATCAGGTCAGATCAGTGGCGCCGTCTGTGGGAAAAAGCTTCCCCGTCTAACGAACAAATTTCAAAGACCAAAGCTCAATCCATTCACTGTCATGGCCTCTCCAACTCGTGAAGAGCAACACACTCGCGTCCTCGACGTCAACAACGGTCCCGCGGACAAGAATGGGCACCTGGACAATCCCAGTGGTGCCGGCCACAATGCCGCCCCCCTGACAACCGCCCCTGGACCTTCCTCCCGCAGGGACGGT